CGTTTCCTGTTATTTATCATTGCCAGTAAAAACGGAATCTTTTTTTTTTTTTAATGAAATTACGCTGGAGGAAAAGACAGGCTCGGGTGTTGAAAAGCTGGCATTTGGGGAGATGCGTATTTCCGTGCCCACAGGCCCAAATTTGCTGGAAAAGGGGAGATCTGGTTGCCTTGTCCATTCTTAGTTTCAAGCAAGGAAGGAACAAAGCTTGCTGCTGGGGTTTTGGGGTTGGCAGACATCCTTTCTGTGCAACTGTGGCGACAGATAACCACTAGGCCTTGCGTCCCCTGCCCTACCCAGGCGTATTTGTTTTCTCAGCTGTTGAACTTTACCTACCTTTACCTGAGACAACAGTTCCCAGCCCGCTCCTTCTTGTTAGACATACCCAAGCTGGTTAATCATCTTTCAACCTGGCTACGCTGGCAATGCGGGGTGCATTTTCTCGATAACAGACCACTAGGTCCAACCTGGTCCAGGTGGCACTGTGCCTCCGCCTGACTTCCAGGCTCACATTTGAGAGGCATTTCATTCATTCTTCCCTTGCATCTTAACCAGCACTGCTCCTCTAAAAGGCGAAAAGGCATCTTGAACGCCTGGTTTTAACGTTGTGGACACACTCATGTGGGGATCTGGGCAGCAGTACGAAACTGGCACGCCACTGACTCCTTCCACGATAGGTTTCTGATTTCTGAGGTCTCCTTGTGGTCTTCCATCCAAGTACAAACCGGGCCTGAAACGCCTGGCACCTGAAGCAGAGGACACCCCTTCCATTCTTTTAACGTTTTGTGGAGCAGATGTGGGGCCCCTGACGAGAACGTGAAAGCTGGGACCCTATTCTGTGATCTTTTCCTCAGCCAAATGACAATATGGTCCTGTTTTGGAAGCTTTCTAAAGTCCAAAATAGAATTATTTGTATTATCCGTTTATGGACAACCCTGGGCTATATCAGCCATTGCAAAACAAGTCCACGAATGGAGGATGGGGGCATTTGATTGCAGGGTTGAGGGGACCAAGAACAACACACGCCATTGAAAGAGCTATTTTGCACCTCCGTGTGATTCCAAAGTAAATTCCGCCTGGTCTGAGGTGGCTTTAACAAGGTGGAGCTGCTTATTTAGTTCATCTTTCTTGACTTGGCCAGTCTGAAAATCATCATGAAGGTGTCCCATTGAAAAAGTCCCATTTATAAAAAGTTAGCCAAACACCTCCGCGTTTCCTCTTGCGTCTTGGAGAGTTTGGGAACAGCAGAGTCTCTGTTTGTCCTGCTCTGAAAGCCTGCTTGAAATCGGTCCTCCTGGAAGAATCGCATCTTGTGTGCCTGGAAAGGGGGGGATTCTGCCAGGGATCAAGTTGGCAGGGCCCAACCAGATCACAGTCTTGGCGGGTCGGGTACTCAGGAGGGGAGGGAGGGCCATGGGTGGTTCTTGACACATCTGGAAGTGAACATGTGGGGGATCTGTGCATACCAAACCTGCCTGAAAAGGGCTGGGCTATCATAAATGATAAAGGTGAAAATTTGGGGGGCATCTCTGACGTTTTGGATGGGTGAAAAGGCTCAATATGGAATTTTGGGCATCAGGGAGAAGGAATCGGGAGTTCCTGGTTCTCTCTCTGGCTACTGCAATCTTCTGTCCCATTAAAAAAACACATATCTCCTTACAAAGATGAGCTTCGCAACTGACAAGCTTTCCTTGTTTCATTCCCATCATCCACTCCTTGAAAAAAGGATTTTTTCCCCTTGGATCACCCAAGTCTCCTGACTGCAAACATGTGGTCTACCTTTTCAGGAAAGTCTTTCTGTAATACAGACGTTTGTGCATGCCAAGAAGTTTGTCCACAAGGAGAAACAGAACTGGGTCCTCTGGGACCCTCATCTTCATCCCCAAAGCAATCCACAGACGAGAAGAATCTGCAATTTTCTAAAGCCGGTTGGCTTCATCTTCAGTTTGCAGCTTTTTCGAGCAGAGATTTTTAGAAGTTGCTTCTTTGGAGACCAGCATTCAATACATCCGGGGCTACTTGGAGAATGTGCTTCTCGGGCCCCCGTAATAAAATTAATTGTGTATTAATGAATGAAATGTAGAGTTTTGACCAGCAGGGAAAAAAAATTCTTTTTGGAACAGAAGGAAAACTCTGGCCTTGTAGAATGCTGCCCCTCGCTGGTCAGATCGGGAACGGCACCAACTTTTCCCATGTGCTCGAAAAGTTCATCTTTCAAGCAACTTGCTCGCTTCTTAGGTGACTTTGGGAAGAGCATCTGGAACAGAGCTCTGGCCAAAAGGCTGCACTGGGCATTAAACAAGCCAGGGCTGTGGCGTTCTACCCTCTTGAAACTTGGTTAGGGCGTAAAGTTTCGTCTCTGCAATCGATGGAAGGAAAATGTTTTAGGGAGGCAACTTTGACGCTGTGCTAGCGGGAAGCAGTCTGAGCATCTAATGGAGAAAAGGTTTGTCTGAGCATCTAGAACAGTGTTTCTCAACCTTGGCAACTTCTAGATGTGTGGACTTCAACTCCCGTGGCTGGGGAATTCTGGGAGTTGAAGTCCATCCATGCTGGCTGGGGAATTCTGGGAGCTGACATCCATACATCTTGAAGTTGCCAAGGTTGAGAAACACTGATCTATGAAGTCCTTCTCCCAGTTCATCTCTAGTCCTACGCATCCCTCCCTCTGGGCCGGAAGATTTTTAACAGGCTCAATTCCCCTGGACTGCCATATGCCATCAGCAATTGTACTCCGGTCCAAGGAGATACATAACTCAATTGCAAAGTCTGAACTTAAATGCAGAAGAGCATGCTCCTTTTCTGCACGCCTTGGCAAGATGAAGAAGCAGAATTGGCCTTGTGGTAGCAAAGATGTGGGTCACGGCTCTAGCCAGAGTGATCTTTAAACGTTGAGGGCTGAAGGAAGAGGGGGGTCAATGATAAAGGGATGTTGGAGAGCAGAGAGGGAGCCCATAAAGTCATAGAGAAGGGGGCTAGACTAGTGAATAGATTTTGGGAAACCCAAACACATATTAAATTGGAAAGGCCCAGCACAGGAAGCCCTAGAAGGGACTAGATATGGTGAGTAGTGGGTTTGCCTTAGGAGTTTACTCAGGAGAAGAATGGACAGGAGGTCGTTCCTCTTGGAAAAAAACCTCAGACCTCTTACCGAAGGATCCAATCCAAGTCGTTTTTGCAAGGAAGCCTGCTTTCAGAGAATTGCACTCCCAAGGAAGAAACGGCCAAGCCAAGAATTAAAACCGATTACTTTGGAAACGGCCACCCAAGGGAAGAAGCGACAGAGTAAATCGCCCAGACCGTGTCTGACAATGCAAAAACAAGGTGGGGAAACCACAAAAGAATTGTCTCTTTTCTACCACGATTCTCCCGCAAAGAAGGGTGGGGCTTCAACCGGGTGGTCATGGCCACCATCTTGACTCTTTTGACCCCCTCCCTGCAGACGCTCCTCCGGGAGAGAGGAGAGCGTCGCCGTTCTGTCGCTTCTCCTGCTCTCTCACCGAACGAACGTGACCGTCGCAGAGAAGAATCTGGAGAACTGCATTTAACTGGAAAAAAGCATTTCCCTCTCTTTTTTTATTCGTTATTTAAACAGGAAGGCAGTGCTTCGCCACTGCAAATCCGCAGCACTTGCTTTGTGGCCCTGTTTTGAGCAAAAAGAAACAAAAAACCAAAAAACCCCAAAATCAAACAACAATGAACAAAACTTCACTTTCAATAGAAAGGAGGAAAAAAAAAAAAAAAAAAAAGAACGTTTTAGAGCAAGCTGCATAAATATTTACAATTTGCAGTTTCTATGTACAGTCTGTTCTATCATACAACTCACTATGCACAGTTTGGTTGTACAAAAGATAGATTTCTTCTCTCCCCCCACCCCGACCCCCCTTGTACAGTTCAAACAATAACATTGTCCTTTTTTTTTTTTTTTTTAA